AATCATAACATAATAATTTCCAATTGATATCTGTACTTTTTGTAATTTAAGAAAATAAAAAAGAGGACAAACTTTTTACATATAAAGCAATTTAGGATGCTTAATTGCTTTAGAAGTGTGGAGTGTCCCTTTAAGGAACAGTGTGTAATACTGAACAGAGCCGAGTCCCTGTCATACCATGGTTCATGCGATTTTTCTTATATTCTGACTTTTGCATGTAGCAATTTCTGACAGATGTTTACTATGCATTGATTTCTAGAGAGTAGTGCCACCTACCAATATTTCTATTGAAATTCTGAAACTGAAAGCCAATGCTGCTCTTTGCTGCCCTTCTTTCTATTTTTGCATAGAGCCTTCTGCCTGGAAGTGTAACTCATACTGATTAAAGGAAAATTTGGACATGCATGCCCTGGTCCTGCCCTATCCATAAACCATTATGTCTTCTGAACTTCTTAAAGGCAGTATTTTTCAATGACACATACTTCAATCTTATGTATTCTTTTACAAAATTTCTCCCATGCTTTCCTTTCATTGACTCATAAGTAGTTCCTGGTTGCGAGGGGAGAAGATAACAGTAAATTATAGAAATGAAACCTAGTGACTTAGTCACATATGTGTTCAAAATGTGTAAACCTGAAGAACATGAAATTATCTAAGCACCCTTATTGGTTATTGAAGACTTTAACCACATGTGTAGGACTGGGGAAGCACTCTAAACTGGAGTAACTAATAAGTAGCACATCAACAGTTCTTGTGATAACAGCATACCCAACTGATGACTGTGATTCATGAGAAGTATTAAAAGAACACTCCAAGCACCATAAGTACTAAAGCCTGCTGTAGTGGGAATGGTGCAATTAGTTTCTTGGTGCTGTTCCCGCAGTAGTGTTAGTTTGGTTTGAAACATATGGGTACCTCCAGTCACAGCCTCTGCTTCAGGTCTTTTCCTTTAGGACAGCTAAGCAGGACTGTGCAGGACCACACTCATTGAGAAAGTTTTAGTTGACTACTCTCAGCCAATATGCGTGGTCCTGGATTTGTTATGGTTTATTCTTCGTAGTCATCTGGCTTCCCATTAGAAAACTGGTTGCAGCACCGATAACTAGGAGACTCAGGAAAGTGTTCAAACTGTATCAAAACAGTTTGACTACCTAACATGGAACGGCACAAGGGAACTTGAACTGGAAGTTAGCTGTTAGCTAACCTTGCCATAGGTTGAAGAACAGGAGGTAAAGAATTCCATTTGAAGAGTCTTGTCCAATGCAAACAGAATTAGCTAAAGGCAACAGTGCATTGCGATGGAACTTAAATGTTATACTCACTGCATATTTCCATAATGTCCCTTCACATAGCTTTTCATTGACTTATCAGATAAGGTGTCTCTTTTGTAACCTCAGTAAGTGTTGTGGCCTTTTCTTTTACACAGAAGATTAATACAAACTGTCCTCATTATTACTTTCATTATAATTGATTCAAAGCATTTCCCACACCACATTGCTGACTAAAGGGTTACATCTAACAGATACGAGAAGACAATTGAGAAATCAACTCGCCAGTGTTAGTACTGTACATATATTATCCACAAATAACATTAGTGTCAACTACCTTTGCAGTTTCTGGGTTCTTCAAGCTGACTGAGAATAGTAACAAGATTTATAGCAAATACATTTCTTATAAACCATTTTGTAAAACCCAACTCTACACTTGTTTTTTTTTTTTTTTTAACTGAGGTGAGTGGGTTTGTTAGGCATTGAAAAAAAGAAAAGAAAAATAGAATAGTAATATTTGTTTTTGATCACGTTTGGGGGTTTCTCTTATCCACGCAGGTTTCTGTAGTTGGTAGGATGCGAAGCTGACTCAGCTGTGTAGGAGTAATAAAAAGGTATATATCAAGAGGAGAATACCACCCCCAATAAATATGTAGGATCATTAAAGGGTTTCAGTTTATAATGACAATCTAAAACCCTTCAGTCACACATTGTTGAGCTTTATGTTACACAAGATGATTCATTGCTTTATTTAAGGTGTAAATAATGATAACCAATTTTCATATAGATGTATTAACACATATTTTTTTACCTAGACAAATATATATTTTTTAGACGTATATATTTTACTTTTTTTTTTTTTCTAATTACAACCGACAATTATATATTTACGAAAACCAGAAAATCAAAGGATGGTAGACCTCCCCCCACCAGATCCCTGCTATGTATCCTCTTTTCCCCATTCTCCCAACTCTGGGTTATTTCTTTCAATTAATCAATGTTTTGCTATTGGCTTTACTCTCAGAACTATTCACTAAAGTGAGACTTGTCAGTATTTAAAAGTGAATTCTGCGTAAATTTCAAATTTAAGGCCAAAGTAGCTGAAGCAGATGCATAGCTGGCTTGGATTTTTCTTCAGTCTGACTATTATGGCCTTAAGCTTTTAATTCACTTGAATTCCAGACATAAATCACGTTAGTAAATAACCCTTGTCTGAAGACTTTATTCTTATTACACGTTTTAGTGTTAGGTAGGGTTATTGTTGTTTGCAGTTGGTGTTAAAAATAATGTTATGGCTCTCCTAATCAGGGCAGTAAAAATACTTGCATGCCCTGCCCTGGTCTTCCTGACATTAGTGGGAGTTACACTCCCAGGTTCTCCCAGCTCAGGAGAGGGCTGAATTAAAACAGTGACAGCTGCATACAGCAGCTTGCTTCTCGTAGTATAACTGGGAGAGACCACCTTTTAGCCATTGTGATGGATGTCGTGAGTAAGAGTAAAGATGCCGTAACATTGCGTCTCCTTACCAGCCTGACACGTTAGGTATAAAATATATTTTTGTCTCTTTGCATATCTGTTTATATATTTGTTTTTGGAAAATATACGCTCAACATTTCTATTAATTTCCAGCTATACTCCTTCATCTTTAATCAAAGAAAAAAGTATGAAGGTGATATTGTTGAGAATTTCCTAAGATATTAGTCAAAAACAGCCAACATTCTATATCTTTCTAGCTCTAATTTGGATAAAAATGTGCAATTGCTTACCAGTCCTTGTTTAGCGAGTAACCTGAATATGTCAAGTCATTGCAGTTTAATTATTTTTATAAGCTGTGAATGATAAAACAGTTGGGGAGAAATTTCATTTTCTTTGCTGAAATTTTACTATTTTAAAATATATATCCTCTGAATATGTCCTGGTGGTACCTGACACCAAGACATGAGCAGTAGATCTTTCATTGGTCTGCAACCTAAGGTTTCGTAGCAGAACATTGCCCAGAGTATAACACTGCCTTTGCGGGCCTGCCTTCTTCCTACTTCCTGCTTTAGGCAGTGGACAGGGGCTATCAGGGGCACTCTAATTGGTCTGTGTCTAGGCAGCCCCATTTGCAGCAAAGTGTGTCTAATGATACCTTTCCATCATGGCCAGCATTATGCTTTTCAGAAATTTGAGATACTGTAGCTCTTCTGTGGACCGGCCAAGGCGGATTAGCCTTCGCTCACGACGCGCATCACTCAGCCTGGGGTGCCCATGACTCCGACACTGGTTGTACTTCCTTGCACCACTTTTGGTATGTACTAACCACGGCACATCGGGAACACCCCACAAGACTTGCCAGTTCTCACATTAGTAAATAACTACAAATGAGCAACGTTAGGTTGCTGTCTTAATATTACTGGTCGGTATGAAGTTTGATGGAGCCCTTTGAACTCACTGAAGATTCAATGGATGATATGCCTCAGGTGAGACATTTGAGATATTGTAAGATTGTTCAAATTGCAGCAAGTGAAATTAAAAAAAAAAAAAACATACATTCTGCAATGTTACTATTTTATTGCTGTGGGACTCTGCAATTTAATATTATAGGGATACTATCAGTATTACATCAACTTTAGCTTAATTAAGCTATTTTAGTTTATAGATCAAAACCCCTGCAGTCTCATTACACAATTCTCTCCCATCCATGAGTTAAAACACTTTGGTTTCTGTCCATGTAGCCACACCTCTCCTCACTGTGACTGACACAGCCTGCATGAAACAAATGATTTAATTTCAATCAGATGTTAACTTGATTTACACTTAGCTGTGTAATTTGAGCTTTAAAGGGGTACTGTGGGCACCCAGACCAATTCAGTTCATTAAAGTGGTCTGGGTTCAAACTCCCATCACCTTTAACCCTGCAGTGGTAATTTAGCAGTTTTTATAAACTGCAATAATTACCTGTGCGGGTTAACTCCTCCTCCAGTGGCTGTCTACCACACAGCCACTAGAGGGACTTCCAGAATTGAAACAGACTTTGGGACTTTTGGAATTGAAAAAAAAAACTTTAAAGACAAGATGTCTGTCCAATGATGTTGGCTGCATCTCCTGTCCAATAAAGCGGTGGAAAAAAAGATGATTGATGGTTAATAGTGATGTCGCGAACCGTTCGCGAACTTCCCGCGAACGGCTCGCCGCTGTTCGTGGCGAGCTCCGGTCAGCTGACACATCCCGACCAATCTCCAGCAGACCCTCCCTCCCAGACCCTCCCACCTTCTGGACAGCATCCATGTTGAAGCTGCCTTCAGTTACACAATCATATCCCAATGTACAACACACGAAAAATAGGTGGAGCAAATTGTGATAGCGAAAGAGAGAGAAATAGAATAAAATTGATACTTCTCTTTCTTCTAATTTAAAACTGTGGAAAATAGAGAGATACAAAATAGTGCAAATATTGCTGTACACAAACTCTTAATAAAATATGTGTCAAATACACTCACAATGAAAGAGCCATATAGTATAACCTGGCTCTGGTGTGGATTTCCTCTGGGATCTTAATAGGGTGATCCCCAGACCTCTTTGATGCTTGTTGTAATCAGTCTCCCCTCAATGATGAACCGTGGGAGGTGTTTTCCACTATCCATATGCTTCAAGTTTTAGAACATATAGAGTGGCAAGACCACTACCTATTAGTCACGTGCGATGTCGGATCCTTATATAGTATTATACCCCATTCCATAGGGATAGAAGCTACGAAACATTTTTTAAAGAAATTAAATTTTAAAGATTTACAAATAGATTTTATATTGGAAGGTATTTTACTAATTTTAACAAACAATTTCTTCTGGTTTAAAGACTCCTTTTTTATGCAAATCACTGGTACGGCGATGGGTACCAAGTTCGCACCAAGTTACGCAAATTTATTTATGGCTTATTGGGAAGAAACAATCCTGTTCCCAAGTAGCCATGCGGCGAACTTGGTTACCTATCGCCGATACATCGATGATATATTTTTTATCTGGAAAGATGGAGAAGAAAGTTTAAGAGTCTTTCTTGACTTTTTAAACAACAATAAATGGGGGATTGTGTTAACTTCTACATACAATACCCATCATATTGATTTTTTAGATCTGGAAATTTTTATCACAGAATCAAGCATCCATACTAGAAATCATTTTAAAGAGGTAGATGCTAACAGCTATATCGAGAAAAACAGCTGTCACTACCCTCCATGGTTAACGAATGCCCCTAAAAGTCAATTTCTAAGACTCAGAAGGAATTGTACAAAAGACTCCGATTACACAACTCAGGCAGACGTAATTAAACAACAATTTTTACAAAGAGGTTATGATGAGGAAGCACTTTCAAAAACTTTAGAGGAAGTAAAAAAGATGAAAAGAAAGGACTTGATAAAACAGAAGGGAATAAAGTTGAAGAAAAATAAAAATAAAAACAAAAACCACATTAATATACCCTTCATATGCAACCATAGTGGTAATAATGGAAAAATTAGGAAAATTATTAAAAAATATTAGCCAATTCTGCAGGAGGATCCAGTTTTAAAACAAATAATACCATCAGAACCCAAGATAGTCTACAGGGGCTGTAAAAACATGAAACAGATTTTAGTAAATAGTAGTTTTAAAACCAAACAGAAAGATCCTTTTTTTAAAAAAAAAAAAAGCAAAGGTTTTTTTGGCTGTGGTTCATGTTTAGCTTGTAGAACCACATGCCAGAGAAAAAAAGACATGTGCTATCTTTTAATTACCAGAATGACAAGACCTTTTATATCAGAGATCAATTAACGTGTTTTTCAAAAAATGTGATCTATATCTTAAAATGCCCCTGTGATTTAATTTATGTAGGAAGAACTACGAGATGTCTTAATATTAGAATCTCCAAACATGTCAGAAATATAAAAAAAGGAGTAGAGACACATAGTGTCTCTAACCATTTTAAAATGCACCATAACAGCGATCCTAAAAATACTTTTTTCTGTGCTATTAAAATTGTACAAAAAGATTGGAGAGGCGGAGATTTTAATAAAAAGATAGGGGAAGAAGAAATGAAATGCATTTATAATTTTAAGACCCTGATTCCCCATGGTCTTAATCAAGATTTTGAATTGTGTCATTTTTTAGTATAATTCTGCTTGTGGTATACCTTTAAGATTATAGAAATGTTCTGAATATAGGGGTTTGTTCGTTTTTTATAAATATATTTTATAATTATTTTTTATGATGTTTACCTTCTATTAGAATATATAATTTTAAATTATGTTATTAAATTGGTTATGTTTTATTTTCATTTTTAATCAATATATGGGCATATTTTATGTCTTATTTAACCTGTTTATAGATATCTCCATTATCCATTCTCTATTCTCTCATGGGAATATCATGGAATTATTGTATCAATATTACTTGGCTCTAAGGACTATTTTAATAAGATTTGTTTGTAGACATTTTTAAGTTTTATATTGGCCTCCAAGTCATTACGGACAGTAAAATAAGTGTGGAACGCACATGCGTTCCAATGACGCCTAAAAGAAATGCAATCTCATATGAGTCCGGCCGAGACCGGAAATGACGTCACGGAAACAGAAACGTAACGGTGGAACGCATGGATGCGTTCCACCTAATACTCTGAAGCACCATCGAAACCGGAAGTGACATCAAAACCGGAAGTGACATGGGCGCCACTAAGGAGACGGAACCCGGAAGTACTGGGTGGAACGCATATGCGTTCCACCAGAAGTTTGACCGCGAATTTTTGAGAAGATTTAAAGAACTAAGAGGACACTATCATCATATGCCAACTGAGGAAGCCACATTGGCGAAACGCGTTTTGGCAAGCACATTGGACATTATAAGGTTTTAATTTCTGTATTACTATTACTTATTTTATTTAATAAATATTTTTTTTTTGATTGGAATACACCTCCCACGGTTCATCATTGAGGGGAGACTGATTACAACAAGCATCAAAGAGGTCTGGGGATCACCCTATTAAGATCCCAGAGGAAATCCACACCAGAGCCAGGTTATACTATATGGCTCTTTCATTGTGAGTGTATTTGACACATATTTTATTAAGAGTTTGTGTACAGCAATATTTGCACTATTTTGTATCTCTCTATTTTTTACAGCTTTTAATTAGAAGATAGAGAAGTATCAATTTTATTCTATTTCTCTCTCTTTCGCTATCACAATTTGCTCCACCTATTTTTCGTGTGTTGTATGTTATTTTATGTGAAGGTGTAGGGGATACCTCACTGGTGTTTTTGAGCAAATATCACTTCACATACCTGTGTTATTATTCTACCATATCCCAATGTACTTTAATAATAATGACACACCATCATCAATGTCAATATGGGTCATGGCCGCCAATTGACTATCAGCAGTAGTGCCATGACCTAATCTAATGACTTTGTCCTAGGCCAGGGATCCTTAGGCACTGCAGATGTTTTGGCAATGCTGGTGCGTTCATGAGGCGGCACAGGCAGCAGCCTTAGGGCGCACCGGCTCTGGGGGCGCAAGATTTCAGTTAACGTCAGGAGGGAAGTGCTCCCTACTGCCGGGCCACCTTCTTAACCTCCCGATGCTGCTGTGGTATAATCCGAGGCGGCGAGGGAGCTCTGATCTCTCTGCTCTCTTCCCTCGCGCCTTTTACTGATGCTGTGGGAGACGGAATATAACGTCATATTCAGGCTCCAGGCATCAGTAGACAGCCCATGAGGGAGCAGAGCAGGGAGATCAGAGCTCCTTCGCTGCCTCTGATTATACTACAGCCGCATGCCTCCCAGCAGCCACACTGGACCCCATGACCAGATCCACGACAGATCCACTCCAAGTAGGGAGGCTGGGTGGAAAATGTTTATAAAAATAATAATTAGTGAATGTATGTCTGTGCGTGAGTGTGTCTGTGAGTGAGCGTATGTGTCTGTGAGTGAGTGAGTGTGTCTGTGAGTGTGTCTGTGAGTGAGTGTATGTGTCTGTGAGTGAGTGTGTCTGTGAGTGTGTGTGTGTGTTTATGAGTGATTGTATGAGTGTGAGTGCATATGAGTGTATGAGTGTGTCTGTCGGTGTATGAGTGTGTTTGTCAGTGTATGAGTGTGTGTCTGTCAGTGTGTTTTTGTGGGTGTCTGTGAAATCAGTGAGAGTATGTTTGTCATTGAGTCTGTGTGTGACTATCAGTGTGTTTGTCATTGAGTGTGTGTGACTGTCAGTGTGTATACACCACTGAGTGTAGCGTGGCGGAGCGGAGCATGGTACAGGAGCTTCTGTTTCCAGTACCCGGTCAGACTGACAGGAGGTGCTCACTGAGAGAAAACAGAAAACTGAAGCTCCTGTAGGGGATCCACTTTGCTTGGCAACGCTACAAGAGAGGTAGGAGGCACACCAGGAAGGGGAGTGTGACCACAAAGGGGGTATGGGGTGCAACAAGGGACAGGAAGGGGAGGGGAGAGAAACACCAAGGGACAGGGAAAAGAGGGGGGAGGGGAGAGGAACACTAATGGACAGGGAAGGAGAGGACCACTAATGGACGAGGGGCTGGTTAAGAGGCAGATAGGTGAAGATGCTATTTTGGGAGGATTGGGGGGGAGGGGTGGTAGAAAAATGCATCTTCGCCTATGTACCCAAAAATCCTTGCGCCGGCCCTGTGTTTTGGACTACATCTCCCTTAATGCTCTCATAGCGATAATGCTGGCAAAGCATCATGGGAAATGTAGTCCACAACATCTGTAGTGCTGAAGTTTGTTTATCCCTGTCCTAGGCCAAGAGGACTGCTGACACTACTGCTTACATCACAACCACAGCTATAAGTAGTATTAAGCCTCCGGATAGAAGGACTAATAATAATATCAATTACAGCCGATTCACCACCCAAGAGTAGTGATGTCCCGAACGGTTCGCTGGCGAATAGTTCCTGGCGAACATAGCGTGTTTGCGTTCGCCAAGGATGGCGAACATATGCGCGGTTCGATCTGCCCCCTATTAATTTACTAATACTAAGTAAAAATTACTTAGTATTAGTAAATTGTGCCCCTACTCGCAATACCGCGAGTATGGGGCATGTCTATTAAACAGTGAGCAGCCTTCCCCCCTCTTAGGTAGGTCCCCCCCTTATTGTTATTTTTAGGGCCCCCACCCGCCGCACAGGGGTGGGGGCCGGAGAGGGGGAGGACAGTAGGTCCCCCCCTTATTGTTATTTTTAGGGCCCCCACCCGCCGCACAGGGGTGGGGGCCGGGGGGGGAGGACAGTAGGTCCCACCCCCTCATTATCTTTATGGCCCCCACCCACCGCCCAGGGGTGGGGGCCGGGGGGGGGGAAGAGAGTAGGTCTCCTCCCCCCCCCCCTTCAACCAGTAAGAGTCCCTGTGGGTTTTAAAATTCGCCTGCCTATTGAAGTCTATGGCGGTTCGCCGGGTTCGCCGGGTTCGCGAACAATTGCGGGAGTTCGCGTTCGCGGTGCGCGAACCGAAAATGTTGTGTTCGCGACATCACTACCCAAGAGGCCATTACTTTTTTTCTCCTCTTTTTTTTCTGCTGCACATGGTGATTCAGAATCTACAATAGAAGAATAATCTGTAGGTGCACAGGTATATAAGCTAAAAAAAGATTTGCAGCATAGTCAGCTGGGTCCATAAATCTGACCACCAGCTCCACAATAACCTTTGCTGCTGCTTCCACTTTCACTGTACCTCCCTCTTCCAAAGCTAGTTCAAATGTTATGAAGCAACTATGTGGGAGCTCAGCAGAGTGTATTTTATGGGTGCCATCATAGGCACTCTTTACTGTAGCGCAGAGTACCAAAAAGTGTCCCAAAAGTCCTTGGTAAATTGGTGGTGATGGCTATGATGAGTCTGGTGAAGATATTGTTTCCCTATCACTGCACACATAGCACTTTTATCCACTAGTCCAAGAGCTACTCGACCATCACTGAGAGGGATTACAAGAAGAGAATCTGGAAATCCAGGCAATAACCCACAATTTTGTTTGGCAGCTAGTATTTACCTGTCCCCTGCATCTTCTCCACTTATCAAAGTCTATCTCTGTCTGCTTTTGAATCACCCGATCCAACAGAAACAGTTGAGACACAGCTGCGCCTGCTACTACTAGCACAAGTAACTCACCCACTGTCATTATTACAGTCATAACCATAAAAGCTACCACCACCACCATCTCCACCATTAACATTATCAGTACTACCAACTAAGTGCTAGTGTAGAAGCTAGTGCTGCGACAGTTTCCACTGTAACTGATGCCACCCGCATCTTCAGCAGCCACAAAACCGAGGCAAATGTATTAAGACAAAGCAAAGTTTGGGATGACTTTGAGGGCCTCCAAGAAGGCTGACTTGCACAGTGCAAATTATGTGGCACGGAAATGAGTAGGGGGAGAGTAAAGTGTCATCTGACTAGTGTCAGTATGAATCAACATATGCAAAGACATCACAAGTCTGTATTACTGAGAGAAGAAGCAGAAAGAGAAAGTAATAGGGCAGGTAGGACGTCCACTGGTGCAGTATCTGATTCTGTATTGCTGTCAGTAGCTGCCACCAACAGTACCTCCACCAGTACTACCACCAACCTGAGTCAGAGCATGGGGGATGGTGAGAATAATGACAGTAGTCGACAGAGACAAGTT